TTCTTGACCTGTCATCTACACTAGAGTCTTCATTGTATCGTTTGATGGTACGATAAACGAATCTTTTGGTTATATTCAAATTTTTCAGTGTGTTAAAAATTTGAATTGGCGCGTAACCGCAACGATGCAACGCAATAACTGCAACACGGTCTTCTTTAAGCGTCCACTCCATATTTAAAAATGAGTAAAATTCTAAAAGTATACATTTTTATTTTCATGAACAATTCGAAATTCGAATTCAATAAACTTTTTTGTGGCCAGCATTCTAAAAGAAAAGTTTTTACTGTGTGACAATACTTATGACCTGACTAGTTATATACGTCTGAAGTTAATAAAAGCGTATTAAAAAGAAAATACTTGGATCAAATCGAACAATGCCGTTGGATTTTTCGCCTCCCTCATTCATCTCGACGGGACTCGAGTTAATTCGTCTCGCGATACTACAATGACAAGCAATAATCTTTTACTGAGTATATTGTATATATGTAATGTTAGTATTAGTTTCACATATATATGGAGATGGTAAATCATATCTGGTTACTAGCAGCCTCAGTTTAATATAGTATAATAAAATATGACACATATGAACCATTTGGGAATTTGAGACTTGTTCCAGGGTTCGAGCGGATAGTGATACCTTGCTGTGGGGCTGACATAACACAGTACAATTTCATAGTTGGAGAATGTACACACAGCCCACCTGATGTTACACAACATGCTGCAATCCGTCTTGAGACATTAGAAAAAGAAACACATGAATGTTTCGCGGCAGAAATATACAAGATGGTGGTACGTATGCGTGACGTTTAACAAATCACAACATGCCCTATTACGAGTATTTCCAATTATCTCATCACTGCTTTGATATTATACACGTCCAAGTGAAATTTAGATTTTCACATGTCCATTCGTTTGGGATTTTTTTTTTTTTTTTTTTTTTTTTTTTTATTGCCTTTGTAGGCAGACGGGCATACGGCCCACCTGATGGTGAGTGGTTACCGTCGCCCATGGACTTCAGCAATGCCAGGGGCAGAGCCAAGCCGCTGCCTACCGACTCACCAATCTCCGCAAAGTGTGAATTAATGTAATTTCCAATATTTTACTGAGGCGATATCAGGCTAGCTTTTATTTTATTAAAATCGATGGGCAAGCAAAAGCTATTTATTCCTTGGGATGCATACACCCAAGGTGAAATAAAATTATCTATATTCTTGTTAGGATTAATTTTAGTACAAATTAATGCTTATTATGTCTAAGTCTATTATGAGTAAACCAGAGTAGATATCATCATCCTGGCTACTCTTGCAGTTAAGCCCTTTATAAGGAGAGACAGTCTGCATACTCAAAAATACCCATAAATTTAGTCCACAATATACTTTTACAACTTTTAAAATTTTAAACTCTTTTAAATATTTTGTTTGTTGCATTCAACCTAACCCTAGAAGGTACAATTAGCTTGTGAAAAGTTAGGTACAATTTGTGTGACAGTCACTTTTACATGGTGGAATATTGTGAAAATGCCATATTTTTTCCTGAAGCTACATTTTGCATGTCGTAATAAAGTTATGTCGATTTAAAACCATCTATATCTATACATATAAATAAAATTAGAGTGTCTGTTTGTAATATTGAAATAACCGCTTTTTACTACATGTATATGAATATACGGTACATACACCAAAATAACATTTTTTACAATTTTTGTCTGTCTGTCTGTCTGTTTGTTCCGGCTAATTTCTGGAACGGCAGGACCGATTTTGATGAGACATTCACTAATAGGTAGCTGATGATATAAGAAGTAACTTAGGCGATTTTTTTTTAGACTAGCTTTGCCCCACGGCGTCACCCGTAGTTATTGTCGTACCGCGCGCAACATGGCGGGACTCGCCTATCAATAATAAAATTTAATGTTTCCGAAGCGAAGCGAGGGCGGGTCGCTAGTCTTATATAATTCTTATAATCTTACTGTGGGTGATATTAAAATCAATAATCAAGTCACATTTGATTTTGTAAAATACAAATCTTTATACTTACGTTTTTGTCTGGATTCAGAAACGTAAATATTATCATCATTACGTAGTACGGAGTCCACCATATCAGAAACGCAGCAACAATAACAACAGACATCCTCAAAGATTTCATCTTAGCCCGATCTATTAATCTCCGTCTATTCATGTCGGGAGTGAAATATTTTTCTTGCCTTCTGACTTCAGGTTTGAATACTTTTTCACTCTCTGAAAATAATTAATCGGTTAAAATTTTGATAATCAAGCATTTTCATTGAAACCAAAAGCTTGTTAAATCATCTGTAGAACATGAAAGAAGCTTTACAATTGACATCGTTTAGGGCCCGAAGTATTTTCAAAAGCACTTTAATTAGTGAGTCACCATGATTAAAAGTTCAGAGGCAAGTAAGAGTAAAGTACACTTAAACAGGGTAAGCTCGGGTAACATTGTACTCCTTCCATTCGTTATCAAGTCATATGTACGTATTTGAATCAGATATGTTTTCATTTATAAATCAGTTTTCAGTTTGAAAGAGAACATTGAAAAAATAATGAAAAAAATCATTCCATTATTTATCAATTTTTTTTTCCTTTTTTAGTTGATCCACAAATATTTTAAATGCGTATCGTCAGTATTAAGTTAATAATGTGTACAAACGCTATAAATGGGCATGCTAGTTATAGAATAGAATATAATAGAATAAGTTAACTATTAGTCGAGGTTCCGCGATTATAACGCAAAATAATTAATCCGCTTCCAAATTCACGGTAAATTTATCTACAGTTGATATTTCTGTATTATATCTTAATAATAAGAAAATATTTCGACATTATAAATGTAAAAAATTAGATATGCGAAGTACAAAATATCGTCTATAAATTTTTCCGACGCTTTGAAACCTTTTAAGCATTCTAAATATAGTTGTTTTCATTATTAAAACAAAATAATAGCTTAAAAGATTATTGAAATAACGCGAGTTTATGTTGACCTTCATGAATTCAGCCCCAACATTAAATTTAATACCTTGAAAAAGTTTAATTTCTAATAGAAAAATTATTGAAGCAGGAGTTTTATTATACAAATTGACAGTGAGTGGTTTGGTAGGTATACACTATAATTGAATAAGTATATTTCAGAATAATTTCTACCAGCCTCAGGGTTTGAGCCCTGGAGATGTCTTATCATTTGAGTGAGTTTGAGTACACCGTCTAACGCATTAGGTCACAAGTATGTATTTTGAGCTTCTCTGTGGTACTCTGTCGTTATCAATTAATTTAATCTCAGAACTATGAACTGTAAAACACAATATCGTTAAATTATGTTCGGCTCAAAAGCGCCACGTCTCACTTTAATTACTCAAATGACATTCCAGTTTGCCACACAATAACTGACACCGCATCGTATATTTGCTTGAAAGGCGAATATACTCAAGGGTGACTTTCATCAAAACGTATCTCGGAGATTGGTTTTTAATTTAAGGATAATTACATAAATGTATCGCGAATTTAATCAAAATGAGGAAATAAGATACGAATTACAACATTTCTAATTTAAGAAAGACATATTGATAAAGAACTGATGTAAATACTGCCGCTTTCAAAGTTGAATTAATACGTATCATTGGGCTTAAGGCAAGCTAGTTAAATTGATAAATTAGCGCAATTACCGCGGCTTACTTTATAATTGTTTATGAACTATCTTGTGAAGGCAGATTTTGACCTCATGGACCAAGGTCAAATGACCTCTTTAGCCACTAGTTGGGACAGCGGCTGTCCCATAACCATTAAATCCGAACCGTCAGATCTATTAAAAGCACTGAATACTTTAAGGTGAGTTTTATTATATAATATCGGATAATACGTATATTATTCTTTTAATTAATTCTATTAAGTATTGTTGTTGTATGTTAATTAACTTTTCTTTCTGTACACTATAACTTTAGACGTTTATGTTTTAAATTATCTATGTAAACTAGAATTATCAGTGATATTTCTTATGGTTAATTCTGGTCATAGTTTCTCTCAAGACTGAGGATATACTACTAAGGTAGGCAGCGGCTTGGCTCCGCCCCTGGCATTGCTGAAGTCCATGGGCGACGGTAACCACTCACCATCAGGTGGGCCGCATGCTCTTTTGACTACAAGGGCAATAAAAAAAAGTATTTACTTTTTCAGAAAATCATTATTCGTGTAAGGGTAGTATTTTCTTTGGCCTTTTAATGAAAACTATGTACTTTTGCGGCATAGCGTCTGACCGACGACTGTCTTTCGTGACCCCGATAACTTTAAAGTATTTGAAACTTAATATAATATAATATAACAACTTAATATAATATAATGAGAATAAAAAAAGGAGATTAAGCCGCGTGCGACAAACAATGCAGTGCGACAAAGAGACGTCCGAAATTTATCTATATATTAATACGTGAAGCAAAAACTTTGTATCCCTTTTTACGAAAATTGCGCGGACGGAGGAGTATGAAATTTTCCACACTTATAAAGAATATAGAGAAGAAGTGCACAATGCTAATATTTTTTAAAAATAATGCATAAAAGATACATTAAATCAATAAAGAAAACATTACACACACTACATACCATGTATTTGACGCACACACGCATGCATACTATTTATTGTCAAACTTTTGTTCTTGACATCTGTTGTCAAATTGAGAATAGATTAAATATTGTTTATCTTTGTTAATATTTTTTATAGTGTAGTCTTGGCGAAATTTGTGATTATAGAAGTATAAAATACAATCACAATAGTGTACAAACTTACAATTCCAATTAATTATAGTCGAATTTCGACTGCTGTGGGACCTCTAGTAATATATTAATACCCTATTGTTATCATCTTTATATTCTTTATATTCTATACCTCTTTTGCCGCGTTTGAGAAAACATATCACGAATCGAATCGATCATAACACATAATTTATTTCATTGTAGTTCCATTGGAAACATTGTGTAGCAAGCAAGATTTAGAGCTACATACATGTACTTATTATTTATGAGTACAATAATAGGATTTTCAGTTAGTTAATAATTCATTTACGCTCAACAAGTATAACTTCTAACATACTTGTATATATTGTGAGCACATGCATGGGTCTTTTTAATTATACTATTTGATAACTTGATCCGGTTACATTTATTAGTTCATGTCTCCTGTGTTTTTGCTGGCGTAATACAGGAGACTTTAACAATATATTTAATCTAATTTTCTAATATCTATTATCTCTATTATGTACCTTTATTAAATACTTTAATCCTAGTTCTAAGTGAATAAGCATTAAGTATATAAAACAAAATCTAAAACAAAATTTCGTTTACCATTTCAAACTTTACAAATACAGTCACTAATTTATTTATGGATCTAAAAGATCAACTTGTGTTTTCATTGAAAATATATTAATTGTGCTTCTTCAGAATTCTATTATCAGAGGCTTTTAAAATACTCTCAATAAAATCATTGGCATACCGATACCGCTATGAAGATTATAGCGAGGCAGTCGTTTTCATTTTAAAATGTTTAATATATTAGTTCTCATAGAGTTAAATTCAAGCATTCTGTGTTAAAAGTGCCGAAAGCATTCACATACCAATGCTAAATAAATTACACAAAGACAGTGACTACAAATAGGATAGAACTAATGATCCGTCTATCGGAGATAAAGCCTCTGGTCTGGTCGTTTCTATTGATCTGCACAATGATCCGATGAATTTAGCTGCCCATTGGTAGTAAAACAGCCCATTAAATTTCTCGTCGGATCTTTTCAAAGGATTGCGGATGCCGATCCGGTGGTAGATTCAGCGAAGCACTGCTTTTGTGAGCTCCGTGAGCTCGCCTATGCGTCCGGTGAAACTAGCATAATCCCTCAAGGCTACTAGCAATAGTTAGGCGATTAAAAAAAAAAACAAAAAAAAGTAGTAAAATGAAACTTACGTGCAATTGTCCTAACCGTCGACACATAAGTAGAAACCAATATAATCAATGGCAGTATGAACATAAAGACTAGCGACAGAGTAGTGTATGCTTGTTCCTGCCATCGCTCCGTGTAGAATCCATGTGTAACACACTGATGGAACTCTTCAAAGAACGGGCCTTTTGCTACTCGGAATACTACGGCCTGAAACAAAAACTTTTTTATACTATGGGCCAACGAAACTACCATGGATGTCCATGGAAATCAAAGTAAATGCCGCCTACCTATTTTAGATACGAGGTTCAAATCTAGATTGTATGACGGCTATCTTATCTTTTAAACAGGAACAGATGAATGCTTTGTGAGAGTAATAAATATGACCCTAGTTATGGCGTAGATTCCTAGACTCCTAATATACGTAATAGCCTTAGACTAATGATTTATAATATATTATCATACTAGTCACTAGTAGTAGTATTAATTTAAAGTTGTCTTGGCTTTAAGTATAAGACGCTCGGTGTATTCGTAACAAGCGATGCGACTGTGCCGGTGTTGGAATCCCGCATGCAAATACCAAGCTATCTAATTAACTCTAATTGAAGATTAAATCTAATTCAATTAACTCATGTCCACGAATGACTTTCACTACGAAAGAATAACATAGTGTAATCAAAATGAAACCCGCACAAATTAATTTGCTCAATTATAGGTGAATCTGAAGCAGTAATGTGTTGAGGTTTGAAGGGTGCGACAGCCGTTTTACTATACAGCTGAGACTTAGAATTCATATCTTCAGGTGAGTGACGGCATCTAGAAGTCGTCGTGACCTAAAGGATAAGACGTCCGGTGCATTAATATCTAGCGATGCACCTGGTGTTAAGTGGTCACTGGAGCCTATGGATATCTACAACATGAATGCGCCGCGAATGCGCGAATGAAGGTGGGTACCTTGAGATAGAAGTTCTAAGGTCTCAGTATAGTTACAACGGCTGCCCCACCCTTCAAACCGAAACGCATTGCTGCTTCACGGCAGAAATAGGCAGGGATGGTGGTACCTACCCGTGCGGACTTACAAGAGATCCTACCAGTATACGTATATACGAAATTGAAAACAAAATAATTGAAACTGATATTTGTTTTGCATGAAAAAAAATTAGACCTTGAGATTAGAATTCCGGTCGTGTCCAGCGGGTCGCTTTACATGAGAGCACGGAGGCCCCCCGCCTCTCTGCTCCAAACGTACTTATTATGTGCCTATATGAATATTAATAACGGAATATAGTTTTGAAACAAATTATTATTCATGTAGTTCGTGAAAAAAATTTTCGGTGGAATATTTTTGTTGTGCTGAAGAGACCGTACGGGAACTCAAGTTATATTAAAATTTGTAATACATACATTATAAACAATAATGTTATTAATGAATTAGTAGCACACTCTTGTCGTTTCGAAAAGTATTATTATAGTATTTATAGGAGTTGGTAACGTAACATTAAAAAGGTGGACTTTGAGTTATTGTTGCCCATCTAGGATCATGAAGTTGGTGAAAAAAAAATTTATGATGCATTTAATATAAAAATCATGGGTGAGGTACAGCAGCAATGAATGAAACTTTAGAATTCTTCTATCACGTTTTTTAGAGGGCACATTTATTTTGATTGAAATCTACAACGATTCAAAACAGACTGAATTATTATTAAGAAACTTCTAAATAAATATAAATAATCTGGTCAAAAATATAAGCCCTTTATAGCCTATTTTTGCTCATTTGGTTATGAAAATCCGGTCAAATGAATGACATGAATATACAAATTATTTCATAGTAATTTCATTTCATAAAATACTCATTAGAGCATCGATGAGCGTAGAGACGAAGAATATAAATTAAATAATCCTATTACGTCGAATCCATTTTAAAAGGCGTATCTAAATCGTGTTAGCCGTTCGCTTTGGAATGTTTCAAAAGCCGTGAATGTTGTACGGAATTTTTTTTTGTTCATAAAGACAATGGTAAACACGGCGCAATTTGGCAGGCACACCTGTGTGTACAGTTTGTCAAATGACTACCCTTCTTTTCAATGAGCAATTCGTGTGAAATGCCAAGCATGTTCAAGATTAAACATCTGTATATTATTATTAAAATCGAGATTCAAGGTTGAAAACCATGGATTTTTCTACTACTATTTTACGAATTTTAATTGTTTTCTCGCTGGCTAGTCTTTTTATTGTACCGAATGATGTGATGGGCAGATAAGACATCTGTTGTCAAGGAGTTATTGAAGTGGAATTATCAACTGTATTAAAAACACCAATTTCATTTTTGAAGCCTTTTTCGGGACGGGAATCTACATACCTCTGCGGAATCTCAATACACGCTGCCAGTAATAACTCAAGTTATAAATATTCCTTTAGGGTTGTTAATGCTGTCTATTAAAATTCACGAAAGTTAAATTGGACTTTATGTACTCTTCGGTTAAGACAAATAGACTCATAATTAATATTTACCTGAGGAATGCTGAGTATGACGCTCAGGACCCACGCAATTATAACCAGCCTTCCGCTTCTTGTCGCTGTAGCCATACTTTTCATTGGATATTTAACGGCAAGCCACCGATCCACTCCTATTAGTACTAAGACAAAAGTGCTCAAATAAAGAGCTAGCATCTGTAGGAATTTGAATAATTTGCATCCAATATTACCAGCATACCACTGGACAGCAAACGACCAAGCGGCTTCTCCTGCTATACAGAAGATCGTTACTAGCAAGTCAGCTATACTGAGCTGGAATATTAAACTGTAAATGGCGGTCCAAGAAGGTCGTGCTCTTCCTCTGCATCTTTTACTCCTCCGAATGCTTATAATTGTTGCCACATTGCCAATGAAGGATAAAAAAGCCATAGCAGAAAGAACGCTCGCTCTGATTACAGTGGTTTTGGTGAGTACTGGAGCATGTTCTAAGCATGTAAGTTGAGTATCGTTGTAAATGAACGATCGGCCGAGGATATCATCAGTCTTTGTGTCATTTAGTTTGAGGATCTCTATACATTTTTCTATTGGCCATATTGCACAGACGTTCATATTATTACCGTCCGTATTAAATTCTGTGCGAAGAGTTAATTCACTTGGGTACATTATATTAGCATCATATAATATGGTACTGTTGCCTTCGTTGTCCATGTTTCGTCATGCGTGGTCTACCGATGAAAGATGAACGAACTGTAACAAAAGACAAAGGAGTATTTTCTTTGGAGCGTTTGCAGACTGAAGACAATGTAGACAAAGTGAATAAATATTTAAATTGATCGTGACGATATGTCATGTTGTGAAAACTAGGTAAACGATAACTTCTTTTTGTTTTGTTTATAAGCTGTAGAGGTTTTAAAAAAATTGTAATTGTCTAAATATCGATTTTCACCATTTAACGAAGATTACGCATACGTGTAACTAACTGATACCTGTAAATTTTTATTTTTTTTAGGTTGGTGGACGATCACCTGGTGTTGAGTGGTTACTGGAGCCTATAGACATCTACAACGTAAATGCGCCACCCACCTTGAGATATAAGTTCTAAGGTCTAGTCTAAGGTATAGTCACAACGGCTGCCCCGCCCTTCAAACCGAAACGCACTATTGCTTCACGGCAGAAATAGGCAGCGTCGTGGTACCTACCCGTGCGAGCTCACAAGAGGTCCTACCAGCAGTGAAAACGAGATTAATGTGAGATAATTTGAACATACACAGTCAATATAATTTAGCGATGAGTGAAAATGTAATTCATGAAGACAAGCATATAGAATTTTAGAACAGCAGAGCATCTTTATCATAAGCATATTCATGAGTTTCTCGGTACAAGTCGAAACTTTAAGCGATAAACTATGTATGTAACCTCTGAATATTTGTTTGTCCAAAATAAACATCGTTTATCTCGAAGTTGTGGGATGTGAAAGGGTGACGAACCGAAGTATGGAATAATATTGTGGTTGGTAGTCAACATAAGAAAATTAAATAGTCTCTGTATATATTTTGATAATTCTTGGATTCATGAAGAAGTTGTATTTCAATGTTTGCTATGTGTACTTTTTTTTAAGCTATTGCATAGCTTTTATTGCGGGCTCTGAGCGCGGCGACCGAATCAAGAAATTCCGTAACGAAAATAAAACCTAACACCCCCCACTCCGCCTTCCATGTAGCTCGCGCTCAACACATTGACACCTGCGCTTGTGTATTGTTTGGGAAAAAGCGCGTGGCGTGACGTCGCACTGCATGCGCATCATGAAAAGTCTGCCCATCTCTCTCTCGCGTGGTCTAGCTAATGAGTGGGAAGGGGACAGTTAATGTTTCGCTTTTGTTAATGTTTGTAAATATAGCGTCGTCTTATTTTATTATTGTCTAATTATAATTGCATAAGTTGGTAAAAAATGCTATGCAATAGCTTTACCACGGCAGTCCCCAAGTGCCACACGTGGTTTTTTTTTTTTGTCATTGAAGGATTATTGGTGGTATATTTTGAAATTAAATAATTGAAGACTCACATAAAGTCATTGAAACCTAAACTATCATTTCTTGAAATAAAGACTTCTATAAGTACTAACATTAAATTATAAATTTGCACAAATGTTAATGACCGACACACAGAGCAAGTGAAGTTGTTCGTCACATGAGTATATGCCTGAATTTGTAGTCGAACTCACGATTTTCGGCCCATCAGTCAGGGGCACATAATACGCTACTCTTCAAACTGCTGCGTCGTCGAAATAAGGATAGGACATTGATTTACGTAAATCAAATATGATTACCAATGGTGTGATACAAAAAAATTGTTAAAATTTTCATTTGAGTTAATTGCGCTTATATATTATAGCTGTGAATATATATCTGCGAAATCTATAAAAACTTCGTTCAAAATATTGAACTATAACATTTTGTAGACAATAAGAATTCTATTTAACAATTTTAATAAAACAATGACTCTGGAAACGTATTGTGTGAGTATGCAACGTCCGTCTGAAATTTACCTTTTTCGAGTTTTGTATCGCGATTTCTCAGAATCTGAGGCTAAAAAGGCAGAAGAGTCAGATGTGTTTCAAGGAAAAATTGCACATAAAATACGTGGAGCTAATATTTAAAAATATATATAATAATATAGCGTATATTTAAAAAAAATGATTTTACAAAATCAATTGAGATATTTAATAGAAAATTTTTCATTAAAAAATATGAATATTATAAAATGAAACTTGTTCTTTTTAATAATAGTTTCTTTTATAATTTATTTAGAAACTATATGTGGTCAATTTATTTAAGATTAATGCATTTTTATCTCCAACTTTTTGATACACATGCTATTTGATTCTGATTCTGATTCTGTTTTAAGTTTTATGTGTATTTTCCTGTATTACGAGTAGTCTGTAACATTTGAATAAAACGATTCTAAATTAATTTTGATACTATACCGATCTACGGATATAAAATAATAATTGGCTGTATGTTTCATAAGATGCAATAAATAAAAAGCAAAAACATATTTTGGACATGTTCCTACGGACATAATTTAATTGCTAAACATTCCCACACTTTAATTTTTACATTTTTACACAATTCTCTACTCTGCAGTTTTATTGTTCCAGAACACACTTCATGGCGTAGGAAGACAAAACAATTAGAGTGCACAAAGGGAATTCTAGCATAAATCTCAAATTTTATATTCTCAACAAGACATACGAAAACCAAACAAAATACTACATCACTATTCATTACAGTTGCTGATATAACATTATTTGTAAACAAGTTTCCCTTCCAACTTGATGTTGATTCAAAGTTTAACGTTTCTACCTGAATTATGTCTGCNTAGCGTAGGAAGACAAAACAATTAGAGTGCACAAAGGGAATTCTAGCATAAATCTCAAATTTTATATTCTCAACAAGACATACGAAAACCAAACAAAATACTACATCACTATTCATTACAGTTGCTGATATAACATTATTTGTAAACAAGTTTCCCTTCCAACTTGATGTTGATTCAAAGTTTAACGTTTCTACCTGAATTATGTCTGCTGTATTTATTATATGTACCGGATAAATAATATACACACCATTTTCTATTTTTAATAAATATAATATCTTTAAGCGAGATGTGAACTTTAGAAATTGAGTTTGGTATTAAATATTCAATACCAAACTCAATCCAATATCAAACTCCTATAGGAAAAAAAAAGTAGTTTTATTAACTGACTTCAGAAAAGGAGGAGGTTCTCAATTCGACTGTGTTTTTTTATGTTTGTTACCTCATAACTTTTGATTGGGTGAATCGATATTGATGATTCTTTTTTGATTAGAAAGCTGACACTTTCCTTGTGGTCCGATTTCAATTTAGTCCAGTTCTGATAATGGTATTCACGAGAAAACCATATAAGTCTTAAATTTGCATTAAGTACGTGCACGACAAATAGATGAATAACTCAATAACTCAATATCACGCCAACCGATTTCGATGATTTTTGTTTTTAGTGTATATATTAATTTGTTTTGGAATATCTTTTTTTTTCTATTTGAAGTCGGATTCTGTTAAAGCATGTCTGTTTACAATTATGTATGTAAAATAAACGAATCGTTGTACAGCTTTTATAAGTTAATTGACATTTAGAATAATTAAATTGTTAATTCAGCAAAGTTTTTGGCTTAGTACAAAATCGATGTGCTGAATTCTCACTTTCGAACAGGCTCAGTAAAATTATGGAAAGTAATTATAATTTTCGAACCACCATTAAGGAGTTCTATAGAAATCAATCATCAATCTACACCATGTCTTGCGTTCGACGTTTTCAACACCAAACGTAATTTCTAAGGTTATCGTACTAGCTTTAAGTTTGGAGTCCGCACTGGTAGGTACCACCGCCCTGCCCGTGTCTGCCGTGAAGCAGTAATGCGTTTCCGTTTGAAGGGTGGGGCAGTCGTTATAACTATACTGAGACCTTAGAACTTATATCTCAAGGTGGGTGGCGCATTGTCTATGGGCTCCATTAACCACTTAACTACAGGTGGGCTGTGAGCTCGTCCAGCCATCTAAGCAATAAAAAAAGTATTAAAATAAAATAAAATTTTCTGCTTTTTTTCTTCTAAAAAGGATTCAATAACACATAAGAAACCATTTCTAAAGTATCGACAACAAATGTTTACATATTATTAATTCAAACCAATAAACAGCACATAGATTATAAAGACACAAACAAATAAATTCTCAGTTTTATATTATGTTGGTATCGGCTTAAGGGCTGTCACGGGTAAACACACTCAACTGTTCAAAGTAAAACATTAACCAGTCAATTTTATTTTATATTCCAAACCACCTGAGTGCAATTTACAATGTTCATTGTAATGAAACAAAGTTCAAATTTGAATAGGAAAAAGCATTTACTGAACCAATAAAACAGATACGTGACCAATTTGGTTTAGTTTAATGTCGTCCTATAATTTAAAGAAACGATCGAAGGTTCGTGGCGGTGAATCCTTTCCTGCAGCCTTATATAGATCAACAATGGATTTCCAATCTTAAAGGGCTTCAATTAAAGGCAGGATTCCAAATGATCATAAGAAACACATCATTCTTGTAAAAACCGGGCGACTAAAACAAATGCCTAATCTCTTATAGCAGGGAAATGGAGCCACAGGCGAGCTAGGTGCGTTATTGCGTTCTTCCAAAAATTCAAATTATGTATTTGATGTTAAAACAAAAACTCCTGGCCTATTTCATTATATCCGTTTGATTAACTATCGCTTTGGGTTCATAAAATAATTTTTTGACAATATTTTTCATTCGTGTAGATATTCGAAGCCTATAAGATACAATTTAATGCCACCACTCACCTTCAGATATGAGATTTTATTGTAATAATTGTAGGGTTGTCGTGTGCTGTTGATAAGTAGGATGGTAGAAAAAGTACTGGTGGACTTATAATTCGGCTTTCCATCATTAACCTATCCTGGGATGAGCATACATTTTTCTAAGTAATTATGTACCTAATGTGTGTCCACGAACGACTCCCGTAGTATGTATTCACATAATACCCGGTAATAAAATTAAACACGGTCATAAACCTGCTTCATTACTAGAGGACGTTGGTACTGTGAGCCTAAACGAACTGGAACCAAGCAAATTTAAACAAGGAATCTCTTTCT